TTTTCTATTCTTACAAATTATTTTTTCCAAACGGTAAAAAGATCATCCAATATAGGGAGCAAACGAGCATGCAGCTCACCTGATGGTGATTACCGCCGCGCATGAATAACTGCAACACCAGTTATTATTATAAGTATATTACAGTATAATGAAAATTTGCTTTTTTTAAGTAAAGTTACGAGTAAACTTTGGGTGTCCGATTTACTGGTAACTTCAAGCTATTCTTATTCTTATCAAGCTTGCCTAATAGTAACACAAAAAAATCATGTGGTGGTACCAAAATGGAAATGAAATGGTGATAAATTGTTCCCGCGGCACAACACAACCGACGTTACAATTACGTATATGATAAGATCGAAAACAGGATTCAAATCAGTGTGATTCCAAGGTCCAGTGGGTACCTACCGAGATATTGGACACTAGTTAACTGAAAAACTTTTAAGTAGTTGTAAAACAAGCATTTCTATCGAAATTGTATGTGTTCTATAGAAAATGTGGTTTAATGACGTCATTTACAGGTTAATTATTAACTTGTCGCAAACACAAAAGAGCTCCCAAACCACGGGGGGCAACAATTAAAAATAAAAAAAAAAACAAAAAAAAAAAAATAAAAAAAAGGGGGGGGCACAGTCACGAAAAAAAGCGGCCCCATTATTACCACGTTTTTATTAAGTTCTTTTCTTGTTTGTCTGTTAGTCGTTCCGGGTCCGGGTGGAATTTTACAACTCAAATTTCGAGCACTTCCCGATGAGTTAGAGACTTGTCAATTATGAACATAGTTCAGAATCGGATGACGACAATACAGGAATATGAAATGATGGATTAATTAATCGTTTTAGATGGTAGAATTTTTGACGTGGTAGAACTAAGCTGTAGCTACATTATGGTTGCAGCATTTCAACTGTTATATTGTATAGCCAACCGATTTCTACCACGATGACATCTTTTAGTTAATACATAAGCTATCGACCGCACATACCAAGGGGTGGAATTTACCAACACCAGACAAATTGTACGGTGTTAGTAGGTTTCTCTATATTTTGAATATTGTCCCGGACAATAATCGAAAGATAAACAACTATTATTACCTTACATTACGCACTTTCACTGGAATTACGATCACAGGGCGAAAGACGCAAACTATTAGGAATTCCTTAGTATATTCTTTATTATAATCCTATAATTTTTCTGAGTATTCGTATTATAATTGTTGTCATTGTCGAAATATCCATTCAAAGAACATCTCCTACTTAAGAATTTAATTAAACGTATAATTTTAAAAGTTATTTTAGATACACCATTTTTCGTTATCTACGTTTTTGAAAATCTTCTTGAAAAAATGTGATTTTTGGTAAAGGTGCATTACAATTTTAGAGAAATACCCTATTAAAATCAAACGTTTACAAATATGCTCTAAATGAATTATGTAGTACAAATTATTAAAGGTGTAAGGCTAGTTATAATAGCCCTCATCATTGTTCCAAACCTATATTTGCATATTAGGTATACTCACATGGTGTAATGTCATTTACAAAAGCGCTTAAGCGCGTGTCTACGTGGTAGATCCACGTTGCAGCTATATGTATTATAGTTGCATTTTACTTCATCGGATGTTGCAGCACTAATAGGTCGGCTCGACCGGGCCAGGGCCACGCACTCACAGAATACCAGAGCAAAATAAGAGCCCCATGCTGCTGTGTTTCGTATGGTGAGTGTAGAGAACCGGAGACCCTTTGTACTGGAATCGACGCATTCTATTTTAGTCCTCAGGGGTGAAAACGCATTTGCACTTTGACTCTTACTTGAGGATAAATGCGGATGGCTAGGGGTCACAGCATCCACTTACCATCAGGTGGACTGTGTGCTCGTTTGTCACCCTTATTGATATAATATGACTACTCTTTGGATATTACTAAAAGCTAAAAGTAGAAAATTTATTTGCATAACGTAACAATCTATTAATGATAGTACTGTCAACCACGCAATTGAAGATGCATCCAAATTGGTGTTAGTGTAGTAGCGGAAATCTGATAGCTCATTTAGTTCACGCATTTTGACCGTGTATTCATATTCACGAATTTTATCGTACTACGCCATTGGTTGTATATCAATGTTTTACGCATTAAATGATATCGTCGTAACTACTATAAGAATGATTAGTAAAAGGCTAATTATAATCATCATAATCATTAGAGCACATCACAACAGTTTAAACCGATTGAATGCCACAAACTATGCCCTTTATTAATACTATCGATTATATTTATATTATTTTTATTTATATATTTATATTTATCCATTAATGGAACGCTGTGCTCGAACTTTAGCAATAATACAGCGGCATCTTGGCTCTACCTCGTAATGTATGAACTGTACACTATCAATAAATTACACAACTTATTGTTATAGGATAATTAAAAATCTTGCACTCTGTTTGTCGTACTTGGTATGTTAACGATAAAAATTAATTACCCTATAGGTAATTGAGAATAAGCACGAGAGTAGAATGAATGCTGTAGAAATGCGGTCATTAAGGAGTATGTTACGGTTAATTCTAAATGACAAGGAGAGAACTTGCGTGATAAGAGAAAAGTTTGGTTTGCAAGATGATGTTGTGACCATCTTTAAGAAAGAAACGCTTCAGTAGTTTAGTCACGTAGAAAGAACGAACGAAGAGTGACAAAGCAAATTAATATTGCAGATGTGAATGGTAGAGTCCGGAAGGGACACCCTAGACGGATGGTTATCAACCAAATTGGCGATATATTGAAATGACAATACAACAAAATTGGGTGTAAAGGAGGCGAGAGAGGTGTGTCAGGATCGTGCCAAATAAGAATCTGTAGTCTCTGCCTACCTCTCCGTGATACTGGCGTGACTGTTTATGTTTATGGTAACTGAAAAAAAATTCCATGCAGTATAGTGCAATAAGGTGTCTGAGATTCTTTTAATAAAATGTAGGCAACTAATATGAGAATATTTATTTAGTAAGATAAGTAAAGTGACATATCTACTTAATGTTACCACCTGACCGGATAAATCCGGTCTTGACCGGATAAATCCGGTCTTGACCGGATTTTAAGAACAAAGAACGGATTCCGCCCGGATTTCAATAAGGTCCAGATTTTTACGCCGGTTATACTATGTAATAGGTGTACAGGTTGCGCGAGCAATATTATTGACACAATACAACTTCATACATATAACTTATTAACTTCACACACACAAAAATTACAAGTGAAGAAGCTAACTTTTTTTTTTAAAAAAAAGGTCGTTTTTGCGTGGTAGAGCTTACTACCTCGCTCTTTTAGAATGTTCTGTTCTGCGTGAAACAGCAGCATAATGCCCCCTGTGTTTCTTATGGATAGAATAGAGAACCGGAAACCTCTTTTTACTGGTAATGTAGCCATCTTAGTTCCTTCAGTGGTGACAAAGCATTCTGCATTTTGATTCTTAGTCGAAGATAGATGCAGATATCTAAAGGCCACATCATTCACTTACGAACAAGCGGGCTGTGTGTTCGTCATTCTATAAAAAACAATAAGTTGAAATAAATGTATTAAACCAACATTTAACCTTGGATTTCGATTTAAGCCAGTATTCCGGTTGAAGAATGGGTTCTTATTCAAAAATCATTCTCTTTACCATTTGCAATCGGATTCCTAATTACAGCCCCTGGTAACCTTAACTTTAAGTTTTTTTACTAAGTAACAAACGAGCTGACAGTCTACCTGATGGTATTTGGACAATTGCAACTAATTGCAAATAAAAAAGTTCACAGATAGGCTGTGACTCCTGAGGACTAAAATGTAACGCCTAACATTCTTTATAACCTTCAGACTGGAACGACGGGTCGCGGCCACACACATACGCAATCCCGTTTTGGCTCCAAATTTCCGATGAAAACTACTGTAGGTGTGCGACGGGTCCTTGATTTTATATGGACTTGCTGCGTTCGGAAACTCGAATCGGAATCCTGAAACGGAATTTCGTATGTATGTGACGGCCCAAGAGGTGCACCTGCTAATGCGCACAGCTGGTTTCTAAATAGAGGTAGGTACCTACTCATCTAATTAAAATTTAAAACTGGCCAGGGAGACATAAGACAACATCACTTTCAGCTCAGCGAGCACTAATTTAAAGAGCTCTACCTTTTTTTTGGTAAGAGACTCTAGGTAGGTACTTATTGTAATTACAGCGTGCAGATTTAAATAGATAATATATAAATAAATCATAGAATGAATATTAGTACCTATAGAACAGAAATTATTTCATAAATGTTAAGCTTTGTATTTTTTATTACTAGGTAGATACTATCCAGACATAAGCACGTCTCCAACATTATAATTAAAAGCGGTTAAGTGTATATATCCTAACTTTTGTTACAAACAGTCTATATTTACATAGATATAGATACCTAAAGAGTTTCTATTGAAGTGAATAAGCAACTTTTTAAAACAATAGAACTACATACTCCAAGCTCAAACATTTAAGCAAAGCGACTAATCGTTTAATCAGGGGCAGTTTCACTGGATTACAAAATATCATTAAACAGCTCTCACGAAACATAATTTCGAGTTCTAAGGCGAGAGACGATCGCCCGCTTATTACGTAACCGCTGCATTCATAAAATATTTCCAAGAAGGAAGTTCAAGGGAATGTAGTGTGACTAGGATGAGATCGAATTACTATACAATTTGATCAACAAACAAAAGTTGTTGTCCGTAACACAACTAGCCTAGATTTAATTAAAACTGCAGTTTTATTTTTTAAAGCAATAAATAAGATTATGATGCACTAGTAAGGTCGCTGGTTACTCTCACCGCTAGCGCTACTTAGCCTAGCTGGCCCGGTTCAATGACACTATTTTTGACGACAGGGTTACTAGCGCCATCTATTATGCGCCAAGAGTAATGTTAATTATATTAGTAACAATTACTCACGTGAAGATTCCGCGTTGTGTTTACGTGACACGTCCGCGGTATCCGAATATATTGCACATGCACACACAAATAATAAATGCATTTGTTGACAAACTACCGGCGACGCATGCAAATCACGCCGACGACACAATCCTTAGCAAGGGCCCGGGACGGACTGGACTGCCCGGGCTTCACTGCGCCGCGGTCCCTTTCGTGCGTAGGGCCGAGCGCGGCCAATGCACACATTGGTTACGATGTCGACCAATAGCGTCGCACGCCGCGCTCTTTTGCCACTGGCTCGACGCCGAGGATGATAGAGCGGTGGGGAAAACGAGAGACCGAATTCGCCTGCGCGCGTTCGACACTAACTTCTACTATTCGTTTCACACACAAATTAGAGTGCGAGGCCACACCGCTCAATGTAAAGACACCAATCGGCTGCTGGCTATAAACAAGCGCCCGACGAAGCCTCCACAACCAATTCAACAAAATTCACCAGGCAAGGCATTGCCGCTGTGGGGATGCTGCAGATATTTCGTCTGGAGTGAAATAGAGTGGTCTGCTCTATCACTACGCTCGACAAATTAGCCGTCTTTATCTCCTCTAAAAAAGCATATGCTAAGTTATGTCCTTTTATACCTACATGTATACTTATTAGACAACTCACTTTTCATATACCTATAAACTCTAGGGAACAACCCTAGACTTATTTAAGAATAGTTTAAAAAAAGTACTGGCCACACAAAATCAATGTACCATATATACCTATGTACCTAAATTACCTACGTTGTTGTCTTGAAGTTTGTATTAAAAAAAGGCCTGTAATAAAAGTTCGAAATTTAAAATATAAAACCAAAATGCGGAACCTTACTGTAATAAGGAACGACAACTTTTATCGAAAAAGGGTGACATGAGCACACTGTCCACCTGATGGACCATCCACTTGCTGCCCATAGACACCTATCCTCGACTAACATAGAATCCTCGTTACCAGTAGGTACCTACAAAATGTTTCCCGTTCTCTACACTCACCAAACAAGCTGCTATTTTACGCTGGTATCTATATATTATGTGGAAAGTGTAGTTTTTCTCCGGCCGAGCCGACCTAAGTGTGCCGCAAGCATATATTATAGCTGCTATGGATATACCATTTTCGATACTATCGTGGTCCTATTGTACCTACAGGTACCTATAGGGTTATATATATAGGTATATATATATTATCTATTAGTATTTCTTTGATGTGTTATGAATTATGATTGTGCCAACTAATATATGTACTAATCGCTGCTTTCTTAATTTTTAGGTAGGTATATTAGTTCTATAATTGTGGACGCCGTTAACTCTCAAAAAAGCGTAACTTGCCAATTAGGTATTGACACGCAGCATGAGTTGTATCTAGCTGAAGGTCACCGAGGAAGATTTAGTGTCACTACTCAGAGAAAAGATCGTTTTCTGTAAAATGCTGCAAGACGACAGCTCCAGATCACTGTTTGCTAACTGGGGAAGACTTCAATCAGCATTAAGTGCTTATCGGTTATCAAACTTTCAGTTGACAAATCGAAAGATTGTTTGAAATCCTGCCATGTTTTAATTATATCTTTGATAACACTAAGTATAACAATATTTTAATTGATTTTTGGAAAGTTATTATAAAATTGTAAAATATTTTGATATTGATTTCATTTAATCAATCAATCAATACCTTGTTCTTTATTGCGCAACAATATCTGCACTTTGAAACAAAATTAAATAACTTAAATAAAGAAAGTACCTAGTCTTATCGTTCTAGAAGCAATTCCTTCCAAGCAACTTTATTACGCAAATAATTGTTCATAACAAAGGACTATGGAAAGGTTTAGATAAATTATATCTACAATTAAGTTAAAAAAATTAAACAGAAATTACAGAAATAAGTGGGTGTACCATGGAAGGCCACTCTAACAAATAAACAGTTATTATTCGTTTATTTACTGGATAAATGAAACTAACAAAAATTTAAGTAATACTTTGTTTTATTACGTAACATATAAACCACTTTTTTAAATTGCAGATTTAATCAATATCGATTGAACTTAAGTTTCATTGAACTCTTCCAAAAGGCCTTGCTAGGAACAAGGCTTCTCAGAAGGCCATTATAATAAATCAGTCATTTAACACTAAAGTTTAATAAATAGCGATTAAATCTACAGCAAAAAGAAGTGGTTTATATGTTACGTAATAAAAAAAGTTTTACTTAATTATTTCTTAGTTTCAATTACCCAGTAAGTAAACGAATAATAACTGTTTATTTGTTACAGTGGCCTTCCATGGTACACCCACCTTATTTTAACGTCGTGGATTCCCGAAATCAATGAAGCGGGGGACCGTACTGCCGAAATAGAAGCGCGAGCAATTCGCCGCTGTGTCTGTGATTTTCAGTCCGATGGGAATTTGTCATCACATGGCAATAACTACGACATTTTAATAATTGGCCTTCGAAGGAGCATGGCCGTCCATGGTCCACCTACCTTACAAGAAAAGACAAGAAGTACGAGTATGATAGAAAATATTAGAGATACAAGTAATAAGCTTTTTTGTAAAAAAGTATTTTTTTTTTGTTGACTTAAACTGTCACTAGTAAAATAAAAGCGCTCTTCTCCAATTTTCACACCATACAAGACGTTGTGATATTTCTATATTTCTTATTATTTATTGAAATTTATAAATTGGTCCTTCACCGAATTTTTACTGCTGAAAACGATCATTCGAGTTCAACGAGGATTGAATCTGTTTTTAAAGAAATACCGGCGGAAGCAGCGAAGCATTTTCGAGGTAGCCATTAACGGAAAATGAAAATTTTCATGGTGTAAGTTTGGTGTGTTTGTCGGAGCAAAAGCATCGGAGAACTCGATAATTGAGCAGCACGTGTAAAATAATAACGGTGTTTGCTCTAATTTTGTTGTCCTGTTGCCTAAACTGTCTAAATTAAAAGTTCGTGTTTTTTCGCATGTCTCGAGGTTCTACCTACTGTGTAGTGCGTGCATAAGTAACCTAGTAAACCACCAGTAACCTACTAAAAATATTTTTATAGCCTCTGTTTGCGTTTCAATTTAAGATGGAGGATGCAATAATAAAACTAATCAACAGAAGAAAGTAATTCTGTATAAGAAGATACAAACTACTTAGGTACCTCAGTCTTTTTGTTTGGATCATTCATGTTTTATTCAAATTATTAATTTTTATTACTTTAGTAGTTCTGTTTATGAAAGTGTACGCGTTTATATATAAATAGAAACGTTAAATAAGTTTGGTTAGAATAATACTAAAACAGCGAGTACTTATGTTTTATTACGTTACTAACTTATGACAATGTTGATTACGTAACTAAATCTAATGACTACTTAGTATAAAAAGCATGAATAATTAAAGTTTCTAGTATTTTTACTTTATTACCTAATTATTTTATTAATATGTACTAGGTAACTAAGTACTTATTGTAGTAATGTAGGTAGGTACCTACTACAGTAATGTAAGAACAAGGTTGTTTTTGTTCTGTACCAAATTGCTACTGCTTTGGCTAAATGTTTCCTGGTTTACTTTCTTGATTAATTTTGGGAATATTTAAATAGCTTGCCTTTGTTCCGGGGGGCTCAATGTTTGTAAATGGAACGTATTAGGAAAAAGTATAATTGTTTTTTATTGAAGTAAACTGTCATTACGAAATGATCGGGAATAAGAAAAACCACATGCACGGTATAGCTAAATTGTATTTTATTGTTTTTCGAAATATTCTCCGTTCAACTTAATGCAATTTTCCATTCGTGCGAACCAATCATTAAAACAGTAATTCCAGTCTGAAGTTGATGTTGACAAAATGGCTGATTTGTACGCTTCCACAGCTGCTTCGGGTCTTCAAACCGTTGATCGCGTAATAAATCTTTCATTCTAGGGAATATAAAGTGTTTGGGCTCAGGTCAGGACTGTACGGAGGATTGATCATCAGCTCAACGTTTTCCTGCTTAAAAAAAATCATTTGTCGAGAGCTCGCATTATCGTGATATCATATGATGCGACGTTTCGGATTATTATTTCGGAGTTCGGCTATCATTTCTAAGTGTGCCGCAAGCATATATTATAGCTGCTATGGATATACCATTTTCGATACTATCGTGGTCCTGGAATTGTACCTACAGGTACCTATAGGGTTATATATATAGGTATATATATATTATCTATTAGTATTTCTTTGATGTGTTATGAATTATGATTGTGCCAACTAATATATGTACTAATCGCTGCTTTCTTAATTTTTAGGTAGGTATATTAGTTCTATAATTGTGGACGCCGTTAACTCTCAAAAAAGCAACATATAAATCAATGCAAAAAAGCGTAACTTGCCAATTAGGTATTGACACGCAGCATGAGTTGTATCTAGCTGAAGGTCACCGAGGAAGATTTAGTGTCACTACTCAGAGAAAAGATCGTTTTCTGTAAAATGCTGCAAGACGACAGCTCCAGATCACTGTTTGCTAACTGGGGAAGACTTCAATCAGCATTAAGTGCTTATCGGTTATCAAACTTTCAGTTGACAAATCGAAAGATTGTTTGAAATCCTGCCATGTTTTAATTATATCTTTGATAACACTAAGTATAACAATATTTTAATTGATTTTTGGAAAGTTATTATAAAATTGTAAAATATTTTGATATTGATTTCATTTAATCAATCAATCAATACCTTGTTCTTTAGTCTCGAGGTTCTACCTACTGTGTAGTGCGTGCATAAGTAACCTAGTAAACCTACCTAGTAACCTACTAAAAATATTTTTATAGCCTCTGTTTGCGTTTCAATTTAAGATGGAGGATGCAATAATAAAACTAATCAACAGAAGAAAGTAATTCTGTATAAGAAGATACAAACTACTTAGGTACCTCAGTCTTTTTGTTTGGATCATTCATGTTTTATTCAAATTATTAATTTTTATTACTTTAGTAGTTCTGTTTATGAAAGTGTACGCGTTTATATACAAATAGAAACGTTAAATAAGTTTGGTTAGAATAATACTAAAACAGCGAGTACTTATGTTTTATTACGTTACTAACTTATGACAATGTTGATTACGTAACTAAATCTAATGACTACTTAGTATAAAAAGCATGAATAATTAAAGTTTCTAGTATTTTTACTTTATTACCTAATTATTTTATTAATATGTACTAGGTAACTAAGTACTTATTGTAGTAATGTAGGTAGGTACCTACTACAGTAATGTAAGAACAAGGTTGTTTTTGTTCTGTACCAAATTGCTACTGCTTTGGCTAAATGTTTCCTGGTTTACTTTCTTGATTAATTTTGGGAATATTTAAATAGCTTGCCTTTGTTCCGGGGGGCTCAATGTTTGTAAATGGAACGTATTAGGAAAAAGTATAATTGGTTTTTATTGACGTAAACTGTCATTACGAAATGATCGGGAATAAGAAAAACCACATGCACGGTATAGCTAAATTGTATTTTATTGTTTTTCGAAATATTCTCCGTTCAACTTAATGCAATTTTCCATTCGTGCGAACCAATCATTAAAACAGTAATTCCAGTCTGAAGTTGA